TATTTATGCTTATTTCTTCATAAAGACCTTAAAATAATTTTATGAATGTGAATTTCTCTGTCTCCTTGAATTGACCCATATGGTTATATTTTAAAATATTTTGTTCGTATGTGTATTGCTGTAAATGAGTGTTATGTATTTATAAATCATGGCTTTATTTTGTACTTTTTACATTTGTTAAATTTTTATGATACTTAGCTTGACCAGGGGTGCTGGTGAGCTGTTGATAGAAGATATATCTGTGGCTAACACATATTTCTGTTACTGAGTACAGATTTTTGCCAGTATCTATTTTTACCAATTTCTAACCAAAATGTATTACCAGAGGAGTATTTTAGAGCTGTATTAATTAGCATACACAATGTGGTTAGCAAATGTAATGGGACATTATGTAGATGAATATGCCCTTCACATTAATTCTTTAGCATTCTGAAAAGATTTTATTTTAAGATATTAAGTCTCTTATAATGCCTCTTAATTTCCCACTATAATTCGAAATTTTTAACAAAAGAAAAAATGCTTCTATTTTCCAGGTGTTTGGGGCTGTGGATTTCCTATTGGTTAAAAATTCTGTAACGTGAAAACTTTTAGTTTAATAAAAGAGTAAGAAAGAACTGCAAATGAACAAATTAGCGGTGTTTTGTTGGCCAGGTGGCCCTCATCATACTCTTGTCGTTTGGCATTGGGATGTCCAGAAGGATGTAAGGATATAAAGGCCTTACAGACAAGGGCCTTTGGAGGTCATGTAATCATGCCTACCATCTCAGGAAGCGATTTTTAGTATGTCATCCTTGTCTATTCGATATCCAACTCATTTAAAAGTTTCTTATGATGGAACGTGGCACGTTCACCATCTAATGCAGCAACCCCTTGAATAGCTTTAATGTTCCTATTAATTTCCTCCTGTGCTGAGCGGAAAAAACAACTTCCTTGTGGGTTCTACCCATTGATCCCATTTGAGCCTTTTGGGGAAATTTTTAAAAGACAGCCTTTTGCACGTTTTTCCATATAAATATGTTTCAAACAAGCTGGATATCCAGTGGATAAGGAAGCTATTTCAGGTTTCTCATATTTCTTTTACTACGTGCCGTGGTTTGTTCCTCCTTTGTGCAGGACGAATGTTTGACTGGCAGGTAGGAGGCTTGACTTTGCCACCTGTTTGACTTTGAGCAAGGTACTCCACTTATTGGAGCCTCAACTTCTTGAGGGGACGAAACTCAATTACGGTGTAGGAACCATGGTCTACTTGTTGCCAGTAATTGAGGTTATAGGATTGGCCCATTCCTATTTTTGCCATAATTTCTTACATCTGGGTCAGAAACCATTTCTGCTTTCTTCTTGATGGCATAGTCCAATTAGGGATGAAATGTGGCTACTTTTTGCAAAGTCTGGAAAACGTAGCAACCATTTGTTCAAATTAATATCTGGAAGTGAGCAGAAAATAGCTGAAGGTTTTAGGAGATGATTGATTTGTTGGTTTTGCCTTTTTTCTCATGTTCACTCATTAGAGGTGTGGAGATTGATTCCACCTTACATACTGTAGAAGCCTTCTATAAATATTTATGTAATGAATTGTGAAAGGTTGAGGTGGTATCATTCTTTTCTTTTCTTTTTGTTTTTTTAAGATTGGCACCTGAGCCAACCACTGTGGCCAATCTTCCTTTTTTCTTTTTTCTCCCCAGATCCGCCCAGTACATAGTCGTATATTTTAGTTGTGGGTCCTTCTAGTTGTGGCATGTGGGACGCTGCCTCAGCATGGCCTGATGAACAGTGCCATGTCTGTGCCAGGATCCAAACCGGCGAAACCCTGGGCCGCCCAATCAGAGTGTGCGAACTTAACCACTTGGCTGCGGCGCCAGCCCCCATTTGTTTCTTTTCAATGCCTGCCTCTCAGTCTTTGGCAAGTAATCGTTCTCAGCTATAAGGCTCAGTTATCTTAAGTATCTTATCCCCATGACTGAGGCCAATGGAATCACTTTGAGGATTTATCCAAACCTTTGTATTTGTGTCTGTGAACCAAATTATTGATGCCCTGTGTATGTTTTTGAGCTACGAGATTTAAGATGGTATTTTGTGGAAAAGCATTGGATATACTTTCTTGGTTGATGTTCTGAGACAAAAGCCATCACAGATATTACGACAAGAGTGGTGCTCCCTTTGACCTGTGGACTTTTGCACGTGTGTGGTACCTTCACATAGAGGTGAATACGAATCCTGAGCTGGGGGTTCCATTTGTTCTCCAATTTTCTAAGAAACATGACCCCTCTCCCCCTTGATGTGCAGTGGCCAAGATGACTAAAAGGACCACTAAATCCTAGGCTGGAAAATTATTTGAGAGTATGGGTTAGTCGTTTGTATGCCTGGTATGAAGTGAATTAGTATCTCAAGTTACATTTTGTTCCTCGGGATTCCTGGAGATAAAACACTGCAGACAAACCAAGCAGAACAGGAGGGTAAATTATTGCTTTGAAATAAGGTATCGTCACATCCAAATTAAGCCAAATCAAGTGGTGTTTGGAAAGGGAAAGAAAAAGCTTTGAGAAATAAGCAGTGATTAAGAGAAAAACAAAAGCCTAGGTATCCTTGAGCTGGACCAGATGGAGAGGGAATGTGTGGCTAAACGTTCTTCTCCCTTGTGGCAATCAGCACTTAAGCCCAGGAACACTTTTATCTTTCAAAAGACCTAATGTTTTGCAAAGATCACGTTGGCTTCACTCTCTCTCTGTGGCTTTGAGCTGCCCTGTGCAACACGGTAACCACGATACTCTTGTGATTCTTGAGCACCAGAAATGTGGCTAGTCCACACTGAGATGTGCTGAAAGGGTAAAATACACACCGGATTGTGAAGACTTAGCATGAATAAAAGGCAAAATACTTCATAATTTTTGATATTGGTTATGTATTGAAATCAGTATTTTGGATAGATCAGATGAAATATATTACAATTAATGCCATCTGTTTCTTTTTCCTTTTTAATATGGCTACTAGAAACTTAAAATTATGTATGTGGCTCTCATATTTCTGTTGCACAGCACTGGTCTAGAGCTGAGGTTTTCTAGTTCCAAGCATAGAATTAATCCAGAATTAAGAAAATAGAGACTAGAAATCTTCCGAGGAGGGTGGTCAGCCAGGGATGCTGAGCCTGGAGTCACAGCTGAAATAGGGGATTCTTCCTCCAATAGTCGGGGTCTCATTAGGAGACAGAAACCACACGGTGATTGAACAGAGAAAGTTTAAAGAATTATTAACATGGGATTAACTACTAAGAGATGAAGAGAACTCTAAAGAATGTAGGAGGAGCAGGTAATGGGAGCAACTGCTACATCTAGGGCTGAGGCAAAGCACTTTAGGAAGAGATAAATTTGGAGGAAGTGTTCTTCTTCACCCTAGACCTGAGATCCAGGCCTTGTTGGAGAGGGCACAACCTTGGCCCACTTGGCGGTGGAGAACTTTGGGGAGAGTCCACAGACTGGGGGAAGCCACCCACAGATTTGTCTGGGAAGCTGCTCTCCAGGTGCTGTTGGAACTTGCTGGGGGTGAGTGCCATCCAGTGCCCTGCGTGTTACTGTCCGCTGCACATTGCACACAGGAACCAGAGCACACAGGAACCAGAGCACACAGGAACCAGGAAGAGAAGCCCCTTCCTCCTGCAGTGTCCCTCTAGCATCATCTACTGTCAAAACTTAACATTATGCCAGTTGGCAAAGAAGAAATGTTTACAAGGTCCATCTCTAGTATCATAAGGTGGAGCGAAAAAGGATGCATTTGGTGCTGAGAGGCAATAAATTGATAACTGGCATGCTCCATAAGTGTGTGGTCAGTGTGTGAGATGCTCCATTTTTTTATTTGGCACCAAGACATGCAGCTACCACACCCCAAACATTCTAGTTCGATGAGAATATTTAATTTAATTTTATTGAGGTAGCATTGGTTTATAACATTTATATAGGTTTCAGGTGTACAGCATTATAATTTGACATCTGTATATACTACAGTGTGCTCACCACCAAAAGTCTAGTTTCCATCCATCAGCATACAGTTGACCCCCTTTACCCATTTTTCTCTCCCCTTATCTCCATCCCCTCTGGTAACCACCAGTGTGTTGTCTACTTCTGTGAGTTTGTTTTTGTTCTGTTTGTTTGTTTTATTTTTTATATTCCACATATGACTGAAATCATATGGTATTTGTCTTTCTCCATCTGACTTATTTCACTTAGCATAATACCCTCAAGGTCCATCAACATTGTCGCAAATGGCAAGATGTCATCTTTGTAATGGCTGAGTATTATTCTGTTCTATCTATGTATAGCCCGTCTTCTTTATCCATTCATCTGTTGATGGGCACTAGGGTGTTTTCATATCTTGGCTATTGTAAATAATGCTGCAGTGAACATGGAGGTGCATGGATCTTTTTGAATTAGTGTTTTTGTATTTTTTGGATAAATACCCAGAAGTGGAATAGCTGGATCATATGGTAGTTCTGTTTTTAATCTTTTGAGGATTCTCCATACTGTTTTCTATAATGGCTGCACCAAATTTACATTCCCACCAGCAGTGTGTGAGGGTTCCCTTTTCTCCACTGCAACACTTATTTCTTGTCATTTTGATAATAGCCATTCTAATGGTGGAGGTGATACCTCATTGTGGTTTTGATTTGTATTTCCCTCATAATTAGTGACGTTGAGCATCTTTTCATGTGCCTGTTGGCCGTCTGTATGTCTTCTTTGGAAAAAATGTCTCTTTTCCTCTGCCCATTTTTGTATTGGGTCATTTGTTATTTTTTTTTGGATGGGTTCTTTATATGTTTTGCATATTATTGAGAGAATCATTCATTTTAAAAGATTTTGGGAAAGATTATGTCTTCTCTTGTTTTCTACTCTCTGTCTAGTTTAAGCAGTGAAAATGTGAAATAGCAGGTGGCCAGTTTCCAGTAGAAATGTTGTGTTGGTGCTGACTCCTTTGATCTAAATTTTACTCATTGCTTTGTTTCTTCCTGGTAGTGTTTGACTACAGTTACAGAGATTATGTTCTGTCCTGGTATGGAAGCCTCAGCAGAGATGAGGGACGGCTTTACCATCTCCTCTTGGAAGACTTTTGGGAAATTGCCAGACAGCTGCGCCACAGACTGAGCCACGTGGATGTGGTTAAAGTAGTCTGCAATGATGTTGTAAGAACTTTACTCACTCATTTCTGTGACCTGAAAGCTGCAAATGCCAGGTAATTGCTATGAACAACCTTCACCTCCTTTTTTTTTCCACGTTATTTTTCTTATTGAGTAAGGTCTAAGTCAAGACAAAACTCTAGCATATTCTTCCTCTTGCTGGCAGTTGGCTTGAAATGTAGACATCTTGAGGCAGAATAATTATAGTGTTCTTATAGAGTAGATTTTTAAAATAACCTTCTAATAGAAAACCACTTTACAGACTTGCTTAATTTGGTAAATAACTTAAACAGTGAAATGAATTTTACTGAGCCAGCACTATCCTGACCTTATTTCTAGTATTATGGGTACTTATAGAAAATTTAAATATAGTGTTTTATATTGTGAGGAATGTCAGTGAGTTTGCAATTTTTAGAAAAGTTTAATTTTTTGTTTCTTTTTGTGAGTCCTATGTGAAGGGCTCCGTTTCATCACAATATCCTGAAAATTGATTTTTAAAACTTAATAATATAACGTGTGGGCTGTAACTAGAGAAGATGTTTACAGTGTGAAGATTGCTGATATTTAGGCTTGTTAGGCCTTTGGACTGTTATGTTGACAAAGTTTGTGCCTCTGAGATGACGGCCTTTGGAAGAAGAGTTCAGTGAGGCCATTTCTGCGCTCCCAACAAATTCCTGCTTTCTTTGGTTTGCTGATAGGATCTTAAATGTACGTCTTACTCTTGAGTGACTGTGAGAACGATTAATTATAGCACTTCTAACTTGTGCGTGAAAAGTAATACTGAAATGAGTAGGCTTCTCTCTGTTTGGATCTGGACTCAGGTGGGCTAGGAGCAGGGCTCCCTGTAGTTAACATGGCCTGTTCTCACTGATGTTATTACTTATTATTATTCCTCTGCTTTCAGGGAAGAGAGAAAGTATTTGAAAAATGCAGAAGGGTATGAGTAAGCGTTAGCATCCTTATTGGGCAAGTGGCAACTCACGTTCTCTTCGAAGAAGCCCCGTCGTGTGAATTTATCAGAGAGCAGGCCCTCTCCTGCCCTGGGATGTTGCTCAGTGGGACTTGGTTGCTCACTGTGGTTGTGCAGCAGCGTCTCTCTGTTCTCAGCTCTGTTGCCTCTTCCCTGCGTCGTCTTCTCTCCCAGCGTCTGCCTCCCTCAGGCTTATGAGGCCAAAATCCACAGAGCCATCAAATACCTATTGTTTTCCAGTTTGCTGCTCCCAGCATTTTGCACACCTTTTAGAAACTGTGACCCATAGTAAGAAATGGAGATTATATTGTGATCTGGTTTCATAAAACAATGCTCATTACCTGTGATAACTTTGGTATTGTTTATTCTTTAACGTTTTTTTAAAATGGTGTTTGAGACTAAATTTTACTTTGCTCCTTGTGAGTCACAACCCATGGTTTGAAAAAATTACTGTAAGGCAGTAGTTCTCAGATTTTGTGGTCTCGGGATCCCTCTGTACTCTTAAAAGTTATTGAGGACCTAAAAGAGCTTTTGTTTGTGTGGTTGTATCTCGTGGTGTGCTGGAGCCAGCTTGGACTGGTGTGCAAGAGCTGAGGATGTCCATCTCTTCCCAGCTCTGAGTTCAGTGGTATCGTTGGTGGCTTGTAGTTGGCTGTAGAGGGAGTATTTATACTGTGAAATGGGCAAATGCTACAAATCAGAGCTTTTTTTTCCTTGGAGAGCCAGGTGTTGAACATTTACCAGCTCACCACTCATATCTATCAGGATTTACCATATTAGATATTAAAACTAAGAAGTGTTTAAAGTGCAAGAATACACAGTACATTAGCCATCAGTGACATGTCATCTCACATCAGGTAGCCTCTAGGATTCTCCACTCTACTTATGAGAATGAGAGTGAAAAAGACAAATGACGTTTTTGTGTACGAATACAGTTTTGACCTCACAGACCCCCTCAAAGGGTCTTGAGGACACTTAGGAGTCTCCAGACTCCTCTTTGAAAAACTGCTGTTTATAGAGAAAGTAACTTCCAGTAAGGAGGTGTGTGAACTAATAAGGAAAGTTGGAGAAATAGGCCTCTTGGGTGACCTCCTTCAGGTCTCAGAAGCTCCGGCCTCTCCTTTCGAGTGTTCAGCAAACCTTTGGAGCACCTGCTAGTTTGCTGTGGTGTCTGTTACCTGAAGCGCCCCCTCGTTCTGCCCAGCAGATCATGTCAAAGACTTGTTTGAATCTGTGGAAGCTCATTTTAAAAGAAAGCATTTCAATGATGGCCCAGTAGAGAAGAGGATTTAAAAATCAGTGTTTTTAACTCCAGTTAGAAGACTGATGGATGTAGGTTGCGGAGAAGAGCAAGTGGTTAGAGAAATCTAGTATTTTTATGATTATCTGATTTCAACATGAGAATATATTTTTCATTGAGACATTTGCCAGTTTCTGAAATTACTGCTTTTGTGGATAATATAAAGATATTATGGGTACAGAATTGGAATAATAGAAACAGAGAATTGTTATTCCATTTTAGAAACTCCTTCTCTTTGAGCTTCTAGTTTTCTTATGCCAGGGGTAGATTTATTTTACTGATATCTGGGCTACGCCTGGAAGCTCTACTTGATGATTCCTGTTAAAGGGAAAATCTACCACTGTTCTCTGGGATTATGAATATTTGAAAAAGTGCCGGTAGGTTACTGGTGTTTGCGTATAGATGATCGTGCCCCGGAGGTGAACCCTTGAGAACCAATATCTGACTGTGCATCATCTTCTACAAATCACTCGCTGAGACTGGCAGACACAGAGTCTAGGTTTGATGGCTTTATCTGTGCTCGTGTGCCCCAGGTAAACAGTGTCCTCTCCTAGAAATCTCCACTGGGGTGCAGATATCTGTTGGCTACAAAATGACTTTGGAAGCCCAGGAAGCACCCAATTGAATTGGTCACTATCGACAAGAGAATAATAAATTGCATTAATAAAAGCAACTCATCCTTGGATTGACTGTTAGGCAATTGTGTGGAGGCAGCTTTCCGGTCAGTCTGTATCTATTTCCAGGCCAACTTTCTGTTGCTGCTTTAAGCCAATCCAGATCACATGTAATTCTTGCCTCTGCTGCTGCTTCCTTTGTCCCATCTGTCTTGTTACAGCATGTTTCAGGAAAATCTAAAAATGATTGTTTTTATGCTGTTAAGTCAATAGCATCTTTAATTTTGTAGTCTCCTTCTTAACAATCTGTGCATTTTGTTTACCAGGAAAGCACCAGCATCCTGGTTAAGGGAAAACAATGTTTTTATTCATGTATTTTTCTTCTTTATCTCTGAGATACTTTTTCCTTTTCATCTTTGCAGTCTCTGATTATGGTGTAGTGTGAAGAGTCTGGCTGAGAGAACACAGAACAGAACTTGAGAGTTTCGTATTTGTTACCTCTGTGACTTTGGACTATTCACTTAACTGTTCAGATCCTTAATATGCTCATCTATAAAATGGTGATGATGCTGTCTACTTCTCGGTGTAGATGGGGAGATTAAGTAATAATTGCACATATAACACTTACAAAAGGTTAATGTCCTATTGCTTGCTCAAGGAATGAGACCTCGGAGGTAAGTAGTAGGAATTACAGTAAAAAAACAATTGATCCACACCTAGGAAGGAGGATGCTGCCAGGACGGAGGCTACAGTCCTCCAGAAGGCTAGATGGACCTCTCTTAACCCCACAGTAGCCATGTGCCTCGTGTTCCTTTCTTCGCTTCTAAAGCAATAGTTGATGTCTATTTACTAGAGGGCACCGTAGGAATATCCCACCCAGAGCTAGGAGAAGATTCTAGCGAGCACTCGAATTTCCCTTTTACCGTAGATCAAGCTTGTTTGACCAACTCTCTGGGCTTTGACTCATTCAGAAGGTCTTCCTCTAACTCCCTTCTGGGAGGGAGAGGAGCGTGTGGAAGTCTGACGACCGGGCTCCTTTTATTAGCTGCCTTCCACTGGAACAGAGTAGGGACTGTGTGTACCTGGAGAGAGAGAGAGAGAGAGATTTTGATGTTATATAATGAAGCCTCTCTTGTTAAAGTGGATTTTTTTGGGGGCCAACTTCCCCCAAAATATCAACCAAATATATATTTTAAAATAAAGATTTATCCCTAAAAGTGCTTGACATGACAGATCAGCATCTAAATCTTTTTATGTTAAATATCAACTCTAGCTGACAGCATAACTAGAGTTTAAAATGATCGAAGATACTGTTTTTTTAAAAGTCCGCATATATATCCATGTCTGTACAAAGGCTTACTCTTAAAATCTCTGTTTATGCTGTTGGCTTTGCACATCAGGATTGAATTCCTCTTGCTTGTTGTAGAAGACAATGAGGAAGTCTTTTTTTTAGTGTTCATACTCCAGAAACTGGTCTTCGGTGTCTAGTGCAAAAAAACCCCAAAACTACAGCTAAGTCCTGGGAGACACTAGTCAAGAAGGTACCAACATGCATTTATTTGTTTCATTTCCTGTGTAGCACCTAGCACGTGTTCATCCCCCATTTAGTGTTGTTTTTTTTCTTTTCAGTATTGGCCATTAGTTAGTATAAGAAGCCTATCAACTTTGCTGCTTAGCTGAAAGATACTAGAAAAATTAGCCTCCCAGTCTTTGTTGAATTGCTGTTAAGAGACTGTGGGAAAACAAGGTGTAGAAAATTCTACTTTGCACTTCTCTTCACTCAGATCCTCCAAATTCACGGTCCTAGGGTGGGGATGGGGTCATTGCTGACAGGGAATCCGTGACCAGGGTTGGTAAGACTGGATGGAAGATACTTGAGTGCCTCATGGAAGGCATTTTGCCGTCCAGTTACGTAGCATCAAGTCATGGGCCCTCTCCTCATAGAAATCCCCATAGATCTTTTATCCCACGATCACCCAGTCAGGGAAGCTGGCTGGTGACCCTGTTTTATGCTGTGTTAGATTTTTTTGAAAAATGAAGCTGTAGATCACATTTAAGAAGAGACCTAGGAAACTTAAAAATCGTCTAGTTAGGGGCTGGCCCAGTAGTGTAGGGGTTAAGTTCACATGTTACATTTCGGCAGCCCAGGGTTCATGGTTCGGATCCCAGGCACAGACCTACACACCGTTCATCAAGCCATGCTGTGGCAGCATCCCACATACAGAATAGAGGAAGATTGGCCACAGGTGTTAGCTCAGGGCCAATCTTCCTCAAGCAAAAAGAGGAAGATTGGCAAAAGATGTTGGCTCAGGGCCAATCTTCCTCACCCCCCCACCCCAAAATCTTATTAAAGATATACTCATACCTTTCTGCGTTGTTGCTGTGATTTGCAAGTTATGTATAAATGTTGACTCTACTTAAGGTTTGAAATCCCAAAAGGCCATACGTTTGCATTTTTCAGATTAGTCTGTGATTGAGGAAATTATTGACTATTGCCGTTGTTGAGGAGCGGGCACAGTTATTAAAACCAATGTATTTCTCATTTGAAATATTTTTTACCTAATGGTATGTAACTGAATTGTTTCCAGAAATTTCTTTCCTTCCTTTTCTCTCTCTCCGTTTGTTTATTCTTTTAGACATGAAGAACAGCCGAGGCCTTTTATGTTGCATGCATGCTTGAGGAACGCAGATGAAGAAGGAAGATTCCTACAGATGTGCTCTCGGATTCTGGTGTTTTGTCTCCTCCCCTCAAAGGATGTCCAGTCTCTCAGCTTGCGTATAATGCTTGCAGAAATTCTCACAAGAAAAGGTAGACTTTTATAAGTAACTGATATTACTAATGCAATGATAATTGTGCCAACATACTAGTTTTGCAACATACTAATGTGATAACACTTTATATGACACCTGTGCAGACCTTGTATACGATGGGACATAAGGGAATTAAAGTATTTTCAAAATATCAATTTTAAATGTCACTCAAAGAAGGCATCATTTGGGGGCTGGCCCAGTGGCCCAGTGGTTAAGTGTGCGTGTTCCACTTTGGTGGGCTGGGGTTTGCTGGTTCGGATCCCAGGTGCGACCTAGGCACGGCTTATGAAGCCATGCTGTGGCAGGCATCCCACGTATGAAAAAAAAACAGAGGATGATGGGCACGGATGTTAGCTCAGGGCTGATCTTCCTCAGCAAAAAGAGGAGGATTGGCAGTGGATGTTAGCTCAGGGCTAATGTTCTTCAAAAAAAAAAGGCGGCATCCTTTGGCCATGCATCATAAACGTTTTTTACATAACATATTGCCGAATGCATAGTCCGTTCCATTTATAAGAGATAACCAGACCTTATGCTCTCCACAGGGAAGCATCCATTTGGGATAGCTTTTGACTTACCCAGGCCAATAATTTATGCAGTAAGGAAAGAATATCTATACTCAGACTCCAATGTGCATTTACCTAAAATGCCTTTGCTTACAAGATTCATTGATAATGCCTATATGTAATTTGTGAACTTGGTATAAATGAAAAAGGAGCTGCACCACCATATAGTGTGATTACCAGAACAAAGTATATCCAGGGAAATGCTTAGTTAGGGTAAGAAACATGGAGGAAAATATGATCTAAGAGAAGCTTTTCCTGTCTCAGAGTCTCAAACAAATAACGTTGCATTTGATGCGCATTGATTGAATATCTCATTATCTCAGGAGTAGCCGGCTGAGCCCATTAGCTGCTACAACCAACCACAGAGACGAGGGCAACTTTTTAGGATGAATTTATAATAGTGTCATTGACTTTAACAACTTCCCCCCTCAGGTCTGCTTTCACCAGTTGGGAGAATGTTGACTTTCTATGGACAAAACATTTTGAGCCTTATAAAAGAAATATAAGAAAAAAACTTAGTGTACTTAATTTCGATAGCTTTGTTAGCAACTTGGGTTCCAAATGACTTTCTTTGATTTTTCCTTTACATTTAACTCATCTGTTAAAACAACTGCTTGATTGTAGCCGTAGTTGGTAGCATACCCAGAGGGATAGCTGGCTGTGTGTGTGTGTCTGTGTGTGTCTGAGTGTGTGTGAGAGAGAGAGAGAGAGAGAGAGAAAGAGAGAGAGTCCCCCATTTAGGTATTTTAAAAATGTTTCCCAAATGTAGTTTCACTTATATAACATAAAAACAACTACTTTAAAAGGGAATACCTTTTCAAGTGGCGCTTTCTTCTTTTTCCCACAGTCTTGAAGCCATTAGTGGAGCTGCTTAGTAATCCTGGTTACATTAACCAGATGCTACTTGCCCAGTTGGAGCACAGAGAACAGATGAATGAACATCACAAGCGAGCCTACACCTACGCTCCTTCTTATGAAGAGTTCATCAAGCTCATTAACAGCAACTCTGACGTTGAGTTCTTGAAGCAACTAAGGTATTTGGTCTTCCATTATAGCATGATAATAGCTGCTAGTTATCATCCTCTGCCTATTTAGGTTAAAAAGGAAGTCCGTAAATTTTGCTGTTCAGTGACAACTAAATTTATCCAGCTTTTCCTTTAGCAGTGGAATTAGTTTGTTCAAAGTACCATGTTTTTCACGTAATTAGGTTATAATAGATTGAAAGCTGTTCAGTTGTTAGGCGTACCTGCTTGGCTGCTCAGATGCTTGCCTTAGAAAAGCTTTGGAAGGCGATGATGTTTTTTTTAAATTATGATGGAGAACATTGTGTTGATTTTCATTTTTCTTAAAAAATGCAGAGGCCCAGGATTGGGAATAAAAGGTTGTTGACTAATTGTTTTGAGAAAACGTTTTAAAATATATCCCAGGAGTCTCTTTTATAGTGGAGTTCAATCTTCCTTACTGTACTTGAGATATTTTAGGAGTGAGTGTGTGCGTGTTGTGGGTTTATTTTTTATTTTTCTTTTTATGGTGTATGCCTATACAGTATGATTATATAGTATTGTGTAGTTTGTGGTTTTCCAGCACTGTTTCTCTAGTAACCCTTCTGTTTTAGTGTCCCCAAACGAGAATACATGGGGAAGAGAGGAATCTCTGATCTGTCAGTTGTGCTTCTGAAAACTAATTTTGGTAAATCACTGGTGGAAAAGTAAACTATTGGCTGAAAACGGGTCTTTGAACTATTTGAGGACTCGCAACTTGCCACATTTGCCTCTGAACTAGGGTTAACATTAAGGTGGGTTATGCTAATTCATCTTCTGGTCGGTCTGAATAATACACTGTCAAAGAGGCATATGTTGTAGATGGCGTTGTGTCCTCGTAAACTGCATCACGTTCTAAGTTCCCTCAAATGTATAGTGATGGGTTTAATTGTATGATTTTGTTTACAAGTAATTTCATTCTTATGGGATACAATCTCTGGAGATTTTGTTTATGCTTCTCTTTCTTTGCATAGTCTTGAATAAGCTATCTCGTACTCACTTGTAATAGATTTGTGATTATGTGCGTGCAAATCTGGAAGTTCTTTTTTGATGTTTGTGACATTGGAGCTGATCGAGAACCCAAGAGCCAATATTCCAGGTTTGTTGTCTAAGGCTTACAGCTTACATCTACTCAGAGGTCATCTTTACCATGGCTTCCTTTGACTCCTTTTAAAAAAAGTGTCATTCCATAGAAACTGAAAGAGTTCACAATGACGGGACACCTTTGTTGCTTCCTCTTCTTGAAATTCTTAAAGGACACTTACACACCAGGCTCTGATTCTAGAGATGCTGTTCAAACCTACGCTCCAGTATTCCTCTACCTGGTGCTTTTATACTTTCCCAGATGTGCTGCATCTGGTGTGACCAAGGTCACGCGATGACCACTCACTGTGGAATTACAGTTTCCTCCTAAGACATTGTTTGTGAGCACATGATACCTCATGTTGATAAATTGTGTCTGCATTGAATTCCTAAGCATTTTTCTCTTGCTAAATGATAAGGTCAGACATGGACCATTTAATAACTCCAAGGGACTTTAAGATAACAATCTAGGATCAATAGTGGCAGATACTTAAGTCAGTCGGTATTCATCCTTCTTCCAGACTTGTGGATGAGTGTTCTATTTTGTGTACCAAACAAAAGATTCCAGCACTGCACACATGGTGACATAGTTAATTGTGTAACAAAGGGTGCCAAAGACATTTTTTTTTATCAGAACTAATTATTTTGAGTGATCAACTGTTGGTACTCTAGCACCATCTGTCATTTTCTATCTGAGCGAAGTTCCTGCATTATAAGACGAATGAATCTTGGTTAAGAATTAATGGTTTATCTTCTTCCAGATGTACTTGCCAAAGGCTCAGGGCTATTTGAAATTCTGTAAATACCTTAATGTTGGCAGTTGGTCATCTAGTAGATAAAGACGTAGCTCAGCCAGAATTGGCCTTTACAAAACAAAAGCCTGGTGTCTCCTGCCTCAGGATGATTGGACCACCTGCTTTTGTCACAATAGGAGCGTTGTGGAGTACCTTCATCTAAGTGGCCAAAGATTACACTAGAAATTCTGCTTTTACAATTTTCCCTTTTCCCTCTCATATGCAATGGAGCAAAAACAGTATGAGCACTTCAGTCTTTCTTTGACCTCACTTCCTCTTGATCTCATAAGTAGGACGACACGGAAGGATAACACGCATGGAGTCCCAGGAAGCAGGCCGTCTGTTGCGCACTGGGAGACTTAAGGGGCAGTAGAAATGCTGAACCAGAGAATGGTTTTTTTCAAAAATTGAGATATAATTCACATGCCATAAAATTCACCATTTTAAAGTGTACAATTCTCTGGTTTTTAGTATATTCAAAGGGTGTACAACCATCACCAGTAATTCCAGAATATTTTCGTCACCTTAAAAAGAAACCCTGTACCCATTAGCAGTCACTTCCCATTCCTCCCTCTCTTCCCAGCCCTTGGCAACCACTAATCTACTTTCTGTCTCTCTGAGTTTGCCTGTTCTGGATGTTGTGTATGAATGGAACCTTGCAACATGTGGCCAGTTGTGTCTGACTTCTTTCACTCAGAATAGTGTTTTCAAGGTTCATCCATGTTGTAGCATCTATGAACACCTTTTTGTTGACTGAGTAATATTCCATTATATGAATATAGCATATTTTCTTTGTCAGTTAATGGAAAATTTGGGTTGTTTGCACTTTAAATAATACCTTTTGAGTGATCATTGAGCATCTTCAGTAGTATTATCAGTGACTGTTGATAAATGAGACTAAAATGAAATGTTACAGATTCCTAACCTCTTCCTACCATCACCTCCTGTCACTATATACCTGCCACCCACAAGAAGTGATGCAGTGCAGACACCAGGAAGGGGTGTTCGTTTTGTGCATCATTCCTGTGCTGTGTATTATGTTCTCTTCTGTGTCCTCCTCCTTACTCTTAGACGTTGTGTTCCCAACAAGGTGTATAGAGTCAATGGGAGGACACTTGGAGGTACTTTGGTGATTAGATAGTCACACTCTTGAAGTGCCTACTCTATTAGAAGCAAAATGAATACATTTTCAGATTTAACTCAGTTGATGTAATGCCTGAGTCCCACTGGAATGACCTAGTCTTATGACCTCGATCCCTCCATAAGCTTTCGCTTTCTCGTGTAAATCTTGGGAAATATGTTGATAACTTCCCCCAGAAGGGCTGCAAAATTCTTTTGTAACAAGGATTGTAGACTTCTGGAAAGAGTCATGTGCACTGGGCAGCATCATCTATGGGTTCACAGTAATCCTGAAGAATTTAGTCTCCTCAACAAGCTTAGCAAAGAACCTTAGGAGAAAATACTGTGAAAGGCATATATACACATATACACATGATATACACATCCAGAGTTGCTTTCCTGAGGCATCTTCTGCTGGACCTGTGACTATGAGACAATTCCTCGGGCTTTGCTGTATATTAGAAGTTCAGCTAGTTCTCTGTGATATAGCACGAGTGTATCTTTTATCCATGGGGCTGTTGTCCCTATTCCTTGTATCTTAGGGACAGACCTGAGGGCTAACCTTTGTTCTCTGCTTCTTGCACAGCTCCAACTAGCAAAGCTACCAGTCCAACTGCACTGGCAGAGATTGATCTTTTTGCTGAAAGCAGTAGGTGATGTTGCATACATTATCTTGTTACTTGGCTGCTTATTGTTTATCTGATAGAAGAATTGCTCTCTATTCAAAGGTCAGGTCTGCTTACTGTTATTGACGGGCAAAATTGCTTCCTATCAGACTCCTGTCTGAAGCCTCCATCGATGAGGCTTATCAGCTGCCTGGCTCTAATGGAGCTGCTTTCTTCAATCATAGTCGGAACTATTCTCTTGTTTTTCTGGAACAATTAGCATCCTCTGCTGTCTGACTTTATTGATATTTTAGGTCACTGTCTTCAAATTGCTCTTCGTAAAATTTTGAGGTAGGCTGCCTAAGGCAGGGCATGTGTCTTATTTAAACTAAGCAGTGGTGAAACCATCCACTTTTATTTCATACATATTTGGCAGATAGATGCATATTTTCTAAAGAAAATAAAAATCTTTCAACTCTGCTAGGCTGGAATGCATGAAGAAAAGACAAGAAACCCCTTAAAGGTGATATTTGTAGTTCTGTGGTAGTTTGGTTTTTTTTTCTGAGTCAGCATGAGATGCTTTCACAGTAGGATTATAGAGCTAGAAATGCTTCCTTCAACTGTACTAAATTTGTGTTTTTTAACCCTGGCCGTATATTAGAATCACTCAGGCTTAAAAAAAATTACAGTTGGATATCCCACTGTCTTTTTTTTTTTTTTTTTATTAATGTTATGATAGATTACAAGCTTGTGAGATTTCAGTTGTACATTTTTGTTAGTCATGTTGTGGGTACACCACTTCCCCCTTCGTACCCTCCCCCCACCCCCCCTTTTCCCTGGTAACCACCGATCAGATCTCCTTCTCAATATACTAATTTCCACCTATGAGTGGAGTCATATAGAGATCGTCTTTCTCTGACTGACTTATTTCGCTTAACATAATGCCCTCGAGGTCCATCCACGTTGCTGTGAATGGGCCAATTTCGTCTTTTTTTATGGCTGAGTAGTATTCCATTGTGTATATATACCACATCTTCTTTATCCAATCATCAGTTTCTGGGCATGTAGGCTGGTTCCACGTCTTGGCTATTGTAAATAATGCTGCGATGAACATAGGGGTGCAACGGACTCTTGAGATATCTGTTATCAGGTTCTTAGGATAGATACCCAGTAATGGGATGGCTGGGTCATAGGGTATTTCTATTTTTAACTTTTTGAGAAATCTCCATACTGTTTTCCATAGTGGCTGTACCAGTTTGCATTCCCACCAACAGTGTATGAGGGTTCCTCTTTCTCCACAACCTCTCCAACATTTGTCGTTCTTGGTTTTGGATGTTTTTGCACAATCTAACGGGGGTAAGGTGATATCTTAGTGTAGTTTTGATTTGCAATT